GGAGCCGCTACTGGTCTGATGGTTGACATCCGCGCCACGCTGCAGCAGTGCGTGGACCAGTCGCTCGTGGCCTTCGGTGGCAGCGACTGTGAGCATAGTGACCCTGTGAACTGTAAACGTGGCGTCTACCCACCCGCCGAAGGCCACGTCGAGCCACGCCAGCACCGCCGCTTCGTCGCCTCGACCAACCGCTGCCACGATCTCGTCGGGAACGGGCTCGCTGCACGGCAAGCCCTCTGAGCCGCCGCCTTTGCGCACGCAACCGGTCTGGCTCGCCAGTCTTGTGTCTGATTCTGCTTTCAGCAGCAAGATCGAGGCGGTGAAGAGCGTTTGTAGCAAAAAGGCCATTTGCAAGGACTGGCGCAGGTGAGACGCTGGTGCAGGAAGAAACCGTTTTGCCGGTTCCTTTTTTTTTGGTTTTTTTTCTTTCATTCTTTCACTCAAACACCATCCTAAAAGCAGCGTTCCTCTCCTCCGCTGCTCGCAGCGAGACTATCGCCCGCGTCACTTCGGGCCGTCTCCGGGGCCGAAATCCTCGGGGCGCGGCTTCGGAGCGAACTTGCCTGCCTCCTTGTAATTGTCGTATATCTCGAGCGCGTTGAGAATAGCCTGGTCCATGTTGAAGTACTTGTAGGGGGAGAGCCAGCGAGAGAAACAGACATAGAGAGAGAGAGAGAGAGAGAGAGAGAGAGAGAGAGACGCGTCTGGCCTGCGTGGATCGCCAGTCGTGGTCCGTCGTCCGCCGGGTCGATGTCGCGCCCGGAAGCGTCGCCGCCCTCCTCAGCGGCACGGCACGTCGCGAGGAGCCGCAGCCGCGGGTACGCAAGGCTAGGAAGGCTCCGAGAAGGTTTTGGGGAGGAGCCCGCAACGGCCGGGTACGCTGGCCACCGGCGGCGAACGTGCGATCTCGGGCAGTCTCGTGTGATCTCGTGTGATCTCGTGTGATCTCGTGTGGTCTCGGCTGATCTCGGCTGATCTCGGCTGATGGCCACCCGTCGGCGGCGAGCATGGCGGCCATCCGCGCGCGGCAGGGAGGCGCGTCGCCGCTGTAGCAGCCATTGGAGAGGAGGGCCGCGGTCCGGAAGAAGGCGAGGGTCGGCTGCACCCACAGCGTCTGCGGCAGCGCCGCCTGCACCTTGGCCGCCACCCGCGTCGCCGCCGCGTGCAGCACGTCCGCCTAGCGCGGCACTTCCGAGAAGGTTCGCGGAGGGGCTGTCGTCGCGCCGCCGCCGGCAGCAGCGGCCGCAGGTGGCCTCGGAGGGGCGCAGCTTCTAGATCTCGGCTAGATCTCGGCTAGATCTCGGCTAGATCTCGGCTAAATCTCGGCTAGATCTCGGCTAGATCTCGGCTAGATCTCGGCTAGATCTCGCCCGCTCGGGCAAGTCGCCTCGGAGAGAATACTTCGCCTGAGGGGGCGGGGCGGGCCCGCTCCTGCAGCTCGTCCTCGAGATACGGGGAGATATGGGGAGATATGTGAGCTGGCTCCTGCAGCTCGTCCTCGTGGCGCGACGGCTCCGTCGGCTGCTGCCGGACTAGTGGCAAGTGGCTTGGAGGCGACTGGGGGGGTGTCTCGGGTGTGGCTTGGGTGCGTCTCGGGCGTGTCTCGACTTGCCGTGGCGGGCTGTCAACAGGAGTGGCGTGTCTGGGACGTGTCTAGTCACTGCGCCGGTCGCCTCTTCGAGCTTCTGCTGGTAGAGCAGCCAGAGCAGGAGCAGGAGCGTGGCGCGGGCGGCGGGCGGCAGCGCCTCATGCGCATCGCGGTACAGCGCCGCGTCCTCCTCACTGCAGTGCTCCATCAGCGCCGCCTAGCAAAAGCTCAGAGGAGGACTCACGTTCGGGTGATCTCGGGTGATCTCGGGTGATCTCGGGTGATCTCGGGTGATCTTGGGTGATCTCGGGTGATCTTGGGTGATCTTGGGTGATCTCGGGTGATCTCGGGTGATATCGGGTGATCTTGGGTGATCTCGGGTGATC